GATGACTTTGAGTCATCCACTTCGTCCCTCAAGGAGCAGCACCAGGCGGCGCCGCTCTCCGCAGTACAGGCTGGGACTCCAGAGGAGGTGAAGCACGACACCCCGAAGAAGGACGAGTACGCCGCGGATGATGACTTTGAGTCATCCACTTCCTCCCTCAAGGAGCAGCACCAGGCGGCGCCGCTCTCCGCAGTAGAGGCTGGGACTCCAGAGGAGGTGAAGCACGACACCCCGAAGAAGGACGAGTACCCCGTGGATGATGACTTTGAGTCATCCACTTCCTCCCTCAAGGAGCAGCACCAGGCGGCGCCGCTCTCCGCAGTGGAAGTGGCGGGAGATAAACCTTCGCGTAGCTCCATTTTAATTAGCAGCAAGAGTTCAAGTATCGGGGATTTGAGTCCAGCTAAGAGCGACCAGCAGGATTCTTACAATGAGCTTGGCGGTGCTTCTGAAGGAACGCCAAACGCGAATGTGGCGGCCGGTCTTCATGAGTTTGGGTCGAGAAGATCATCAAAAAAAATGGGCCGTTTGTCAGTTTCTGTGTCAAACGGCAGGATCACGGAGCCCAGCAATAATAATGTGCAGAAAGTCGCTGCTGGTTTTGACGAGCTTTAGTTATGTGAATGCTCTGTAAGCTGGTTAGAGAAAGGGATTTTTTTTTTTTGAGGAGTAGGAAATGGGGGAAGCAGGGGATTAAAGGAAGGGGAGCCGTTGAACCGATGCGAGGCGTCTACGAGGGGTGATATGGCACTGCACGTTTGTCTACGTCTAGCATGGGGTGCAATGTCGTGCCTCAACACTGTGAAACAAAAAAGGAGAACATAAACAAAGAAGAAGCTGTGTCTGTGCCCACGTATGTATAGAGCTGCACCTACCCACACACGCAAACACACTCCTCATAAGGACGTAAAAAGAGAGATGATGGCTTTTTGCACGTATACTGTATTTTGGAGATGCGTCGATCTACTAGTTTCTTTTTTTTTTTATCTGCCCTGTTTTCCTTTACTCTTTGCACTCCTTCCTGTCCATTGTAGTTTTCCCTCTCGCTTTTAGGGCCATTATGTAAGCATTATTATTTAGGTCCATGTTTTTTCTCTCTCCTTATGTATGTGCATGTGTGGTTTAAATATATATATATATATATATATTGCCTTTTCCATACGTTGCCCCAATGTAGATTGCTTGGAGATGCGTGAAGTGAAGTAATGGAAGGAAGGGCGAGGGAATGTCCATGACGAGGGGTGAAAAGGAGTTGAACTTAACGTAGGAATCCGGCAGGAAGAGTAGAACCCAAACGGGGATGCCGACAAACAAGGAAGACCTTGAGGTGGCGTATGTAAATCATGGAGGGGGGATGGAGTAGCAAGGCGCGGGGGAGGTATATGACACGACGACACACGCAAGTGACAAACAATACTTATTTTTGACGTTGCTGGTGACAGGATGAACGAGAGGCGTGTGTGTGTAGGGGATGGTGATGGCCGCGGGGTGCTGTCGTGTGGTGGAGGCGGGGTCGGGTAAAGGGATCAAGGCGCACCGCCAATAACGATGGTGCCCGCCTCCCATAGCGTGGAGACCGCCTAGAAGGAAAGCTAAAAAAAACGGGAAAATAAAAATTGTCCAAGGAATGGCTCACAGATTTCCTTTTGTGTGTGTGTGCGTGTTGATTAGATTATTTATTTTCCTTTTGCTTGCATTTTACGATTTGTTGTTTTTCTCGTTTATTTGAGGCGGCATCGTTGCTGGTGTTGTTGTTGTTGTTGTTTTTGTTTTTGTTTTTTTTTTGGGGGGGGGTGTTTTGTGTCGTCTACCGCTTCTCCTGACACGCATGGATGCTTCTGCCGGTGTGTGGCGGGGGGAGACGAGAGGTGGTCCAGCGGCGGTGTCACGCACACATCGATGAGTGTGGCTGAAGCGCCATTCATTGACAACGAGGATTGCAAGGGAAATCAAGCGTTAAAAGAAAAAAAAGGAACAATAATAACCGGAATGAAAAGATGTTCCGCCCCGGAGGAAAAAAGAAGAAGAACGAAGTGGGGGTGGGGAGAAACGGTGTGGACACGAAAATTTGGTCTTGTTTCCACAGGCATATATGCAGACAGTACCCGATGCACCTCCCTGCATACCTCGTTCATTCTCTCCATCTTCTCCCCTCGCAGTGTTCTTAATCCTTCGTTCTGTAGATTTTTTTTCTTATCCATCCTTATTGTTGTTGTTGCCGCTGTCTTTTTTCTCTCTTTGCGTGTCACCGTGACGGGGGAATCGTTTATTTGCCGCTATTATGATGGTGGTGGTGTTTTCCGGTGCGGGTGTGGTTGCCATCGTCAACGCCGTTGCTGGGTGGTCCGCTGGTTGTCTCCGCCTTGTGACCTGCGGCGAGGCGTGCGCGGGTCACATTCTTCACCCGTCTATGGCGATCGCACCGCCGTGTAGTACGTTACTCCAGTGTGCATATATCTGCAAATGCATTTTTTTGGCGTATTTATATTTGGGGCGAATACACGAAAAGGAAAACAAAAAAAAAGCTTGCAGCGAGGGAGAAGGGGTGGCGGCGGGCACTACACATTCCCTTTTGATGAATGACTATTATTATTCCGTTTTCCAGTGTCTCCTTTATCTATTTTTCTTGTTTATGCTGGGAAGTAAAAAACGAGAACTAAGAGCGAGAAGAGGGCGGGCTCCAGTGGGAGTGGCAGCCGTGGACGAAGGCTCGTGTGACTTGCGGCAGAAGATGATGTGGGCGACGCCTCGGTGTAAGCGTTTACTTTCCCTCCCCCTCCCCCCTCCAGACCCGTTTTTTTTTGTTTGTTGCGTGTGTAGTAGATGTCGTGTTTGTTTGCGCGGTCGTAGTCGTTCTCTTGTATGCCTTCAGCTCCTTGGCCTTTCATTTTTCCACTCCTTCCCCCTCACCCCTTTTTATTCCTGTCCCCCCTGCCTGTCTGATTTTTTTATGTGGTGTGCCTGCCTACCTTTGCCTTTGCGGTGTTGTTGTTGTTTTTTTTGTTTCCTGTCTCTCTTTTTTTCTTTAGTTTTGTTTTCTTCTCCCCCCGGCGTGCGTCCTGCAAGGGCTGCAGCGAGGTAAGCAGGCAGCATCACGGGGTGGGGGGAGCAGTAGTTAGGGAGGAACGCTATCTGCGGAGTCAAACAGGGCTGGTGGTGCGTTGATTCTTCTTGGTGGTAGTAGTGGAGGTTGCTGTAGCGATCGCACAGCGAGGAGACGTCCGCGTGGGCCGGTCGCCGTGGGTGAGAGTGGCAGCTGCGCTATAGCGAGGCTGAGCTGGGATGAGTGGGGATCCTTTTCGGGATGCACCCGCCACGGGGGGCGGCACTGCGAAGGTCATCGAGGGTATTCGACAGCGTCGGGAGAAGCTTGAACTCTACCAATCCCCCTCACACAAAATGAAATCGCTCATGATGAACAGTGCGGGGATTCGCAGTGGGTTGAGCACCAAAAATGAGCGGGCATTGAATCCAATCTGGACGAATTTCCCCACAAAGTGCGTCAAGCCTATTCGCTCCGTGGAAGAGATGCGGGAGAAGCTGCAGTATTTTTGCGAAGAGCGATGATGTGATGGTGGTGCGGTACCACCAGAACCGCTGCACCGCTTGCAACGCCGTGGACAAGAGTTTTGAGTTTCTCTGCCACCAGAGTGCTGAGCGACTCCCAGGCCTTAAGTTTTACGAGATCAACAAGGACGAGGTGCCGGAGCTCACCAAAAATCTTGTGCGCTTCCCGCAGGTGAAGGGGTACAGCGGCGGGCACTGGATGGACCTGGAGTTTAAGCCCCCTGCCGACTTCCGCGAGGAGCTTTACCAGGCTGTGGAGCAGGAAGTGAAGCGTCGCAAGGACAGGGGTCGGCCCGTCACGGCGCTCGAGGCGGAGGAAATGTACTTCTCCGCCGCCGGTCCATCCATGTTGGAGGTGCTCCAGGAGTCTATCGTGAAGTTTTACTGCAAATCACAGGTGCGTCTGCACAACTACTGGAAGCAGGTCTCGGTGCGACGGTCGTGGTTTTTCAAGAAGTTTATTGAGCCTAGGGTTGAGGAACGCTTGCGGGATGAGTGGCAGATGAAGTCGTTGTTTGGAGAAAAGATTATGTACGGTCCGGAGCCCAAACTAGAGGAGTTCTGAGGGAGAAGGGAGCATAGCTCAACGCAGCGGTTGAGTGAGAGGAGGCGGAAGAAATAGGTGACTCCGATGCATGTCAGCGATGTGAGTAGAAATACGTGTGCCTGCATGTAGGTGTTGTGACTAATGTGTTTATTTACTTTTTCCCGGTTGGCGGTGTGCTGTCCTTTCCCTTCACGTGTCCTGTTCTCTCCTTTTCTACAACTTCCCGTACAAAACCAACATATTTTATATATGAGGAAGAAAACACCTCCAGCAAGTCAGTGTTGGTTTCTTTCAGGGTTGTCGTCGGTGATAGCGGTGGTGGGTTCGTTTGCCTGCGTCATCTACGCATTGCCGCCAAGTACACCGAGTAGGTAATCAGCGGCACAGCATGTTGTGCGTGGATGCTGTCAGGCGTGATGTGGACGTTTCCAAACGTATTGCCGCATCCTTCGAAAGCCTTGCACATGCAGAAACGCCGCGGTGCCACACATCTCCTCGTCGCTCCATCGCAGTGAGTGACATCGTGAAATGCCCTAACGGAACGATGGTCGTCAAGATTCGTTTTGAGCGCGCCGTTGCAGGCGGCACACAGTTTGACCTTCGCTCCTCATCCCTTGTCGTGCGCCTGGAGTGGGATGTCATCTTCAGCGTTGCTTACCCCAAGGAACCCTGCCTTTGGCAATTTCTCGACGGGCGTCAGACAAGCACCAGCAACGAGGTGGAGCATCCGGTCGTCAGGCCCCATTCGTTCCTAATGGAGGAGGTGTTGTCACGCCTGCCGGAGGCCAAGAAGACATATCTTGCTGTATGCTTAGGTAACGCGGGAGGTGGCCCCGTGTACCGCCGCCCCTTGCAACATGACGCCGCACCGTTGGCGTCGCAGACAGAATTACCGACGGGCATCACTTCGGTGGAGATGTATCCAAGTCTGGGCGGTAGCAGCAACAAGAATAAGAACAGCAAATACAATGGTGGAAGCGGCGGCGGTGTAAGTCACAGTAGCAACGGTACTAATGGGAACGGCGACAAGGGCGTCGTCGGTGTTGTAGAGTCACCGTTTTTGTCTGATTTTACGTTTCTTTGCAATTGGTGGGCCGCACTGGAGTTGGATGTGGGTTGCATCCTGCCCGCACCCCAGCATTTTCTCATGAGTCACAGCTCCAGTGGAAATATGACCTTGCTGGAGGAGGATGTGGCGGTTGACCGTTACCTCCAGCAAGGGCGTGGAGTGCACTTGATGAACGAGGTGGGGGGAAACAGAGTGCAACGTCCTGGGCGTGGCTTTGCAGCCGCCTTTATGCCCCGTGGCGACGTCGTCGCGTGGGGAATGCGACGACTTCCGCAGGGGGTCAAGAACGATGAGGAGGAGAATAAGGACGGCAAAACTGTCACAGGCACGACAGAACTCTCAATGTTGACAGTGACGTCGGATGGGATGGTGCCACATAACTGTGGGGTGGGCTGGAACAGGTTTTGCACGGATTACATGGAGGCCGGAGGGCAGCTGCGTGAGCACCATAGTCAACATCATTCGCGTCATTATGATCGCCACAGCCGACGCGCACAGCAGGCGCTTCGCATCACGTCGGTTCGAAGTGACCTGCCTGGCGCGGTGCTACCATCTCTGCTTGTTGCAAAAAACATATTGCAGACAGACGCCTACGAGCTGAACGACGTTTGTCTTTATGCCGAGGACCCAGCTGTGGCTTTGTGCCTGAATGCCCGCATCTCTCGGGAGGAAAAGGTGCTCAATGGTGTCTCAAATTTGTTTGTGATGTTGCGTCACTTAGTAAAAGGGGTGTCGCCGTCCGCCTCTTTGCGGTATGCGTTACAGCTGCTGGTTCCCGCGTTGCACGGACTCGTTAAGGCCTTGCAAAAGCAGCGGAGGCCGTTTTGGGCGGGGGTAGCTATATGCTGCCTCTTACTGCCAGCCGTACTAAACGATCGACCCGCGCTGTTCGACATAACTGCCCACCTCATTGACCCCGTGGAGTGTTACCGTTGCGTCTCGCTCGTGGTCGTGATATTTGCTACGGTGGGATCTAACAACAAGTTTCGCGAGGCAGAACTTGCAAGGAACGCCATCATGAATGCATACCGTGCAAAAAAACTACCGCAGTCTCTCACCAGAAAAAGCGGGGACTGTGAAGCGTGCATTGACGGCGGCGACACAGTCGCCCATGTGCACCACATACCGATCAAAGAATGTGCCGTATGTGGGCTTCCGTTGCTGCGGAACACAGCATGGAGACATAATAGTAGCTCTGATGGTAACTCTGCAAGTGGCGACAAGGCTGTTTTGGCCCCTGCTAAAAATGACGGGTGTCTCATTGTTCAGTGTGCTCACTGTGGACACGGAGGACACGTTGCGCACATCCTTGCTTGGTGGCAGGATAACAATGTAACCTGCTGCCCAGTGGGTTGTGAGTGCCGTTGTGTCTACTGAACCAGAAAGAAGAATCTCCGTTATTTTTATTTATGAGGCTGCTTGCCGCCGCGGTGGGAGCATCCACACGTTCAGTTGTGCACGCCACTGTATCTGTAATTTGTGCCTCAGTTGTATGCCCGTCTCCTCCCTTTACTCTGCGGATGGCCAGGGTAACAAGCGGTGCTGGTTAAGCTTTCCCGCAGGGGCTTGGTGTTCCACAATGTATAGAATTCGAAAGCAGGCACTGGGACTCTCCACCCCCGCATTTCTCGTGTTTCCGCTGCTGATGTTGCTGCTGCTTCTCCTCGGCTACGTCATGCTCGGTGGTCGTTGGTGGCGTCACACGGCGGGGTCGGAAAAGAATTCGGCGCAGCCCTCCTTTAATCCATTGGACCATTGCGGCACGCCCTACGGCACCCTCCTT